CAAAGGATTGTCTGAGCCCAGGTCTCTATAAAACATAAAAAATATAAGATGGTCGTGGTGGCATGCACCTGTGGATCTAGCTACTTGGAAGGCTGAGAGGGAAGGATCAACTAAGCTCAGCTGGTTCAGGCTTCAGGGGCCCGTGAGCCTGGCACTGCACTGCACTCTAGTCTGGGCAACAGAATGAGTACAATTCAAAAAAAAAAAGGAAAGAAAGAACCCAGAATGCAACACTGCTGAGTATTATTAAGTTGTCTCTCTGTCTCCTCAAAATTTCACTCCACATTTAAATCTTTTTCAGTACAATTACTTCTAACCTCAGCCTATCACTACTTCCAACATGTGCCTCCTTACAGATAGGTGGTTTGGACAACAGTTGAAACCTTTTCTGAAACTGCTGTGAGGAATGCAATAAGAAGCTTAACTCTCAATAGGAAGCTTTTCCACTCCAAAACAGAACACTAAAAGGTTTCTTGGCAATGGGTGGTAAATTCCTTCAACAGAATAAATTACTGACACTGCAATCTGTAACGAAGTAGTCAAATAACTTGCTTAGAGCAAGTTAACACTGAGGTGATTTACAATCTTTCCAATTGCCTCAATCCTTTACTGAAAAAAAAATTATGTTTTAGTTCATAAAATGTGAGTAAAGCCAAGTAAGGAAAGAACATCCCACCAGTCCTAAATGTGTCATTTCTAACATCAGAGATTAGTTTTCATATGTTCACATATAACTACAAAAAATCTTTAATCTTTCTGAAATGAATAAAACATTTACCCTCTTCTCTACTACAAGTTCCCACCTAAACCCACCTCAGTATCAGTAGCTCAGGTCTGTGATGGATTCTAAAGCAAAAAGGAAAGAATTCCATAGTCCTGAAAGATTAAACTCTTCTCATTCACAATTCTTATTCACGAATAAACTTTGTCTTTACTTCTCCCGCCTTCCCTAAAGCTGTCATTTCTTATTGTATTATGGCATTTTGGTTCAACAACTATAAGCCACTTAAAAAATTTTTTTCCCAACATCCTTTTAAAATGTGAAAAATTAAAGAAAACTGCAGATTAACCCTAAGAAACTGCCCCTCTCTTTACCATTCCTTGACTCATTTGGATATGCCTGGACTGCTGCTTTTCTCCAACAAACAGTACCATTTATCTCAAGTCAGACAAATCAGTTAGAATCTCCCCCGCTACCCACCAAAAAAAAAAAAAAAAAAAAAAAAGCACTTTGGGAGGCTGGGACAGGAGAATCACTGGAGCCCAGAAGTACTAGACCAGTCTGGGCAACATAGCAAGACCTCACCTCTACAGAAATTTTTTTAGCTGGTTGTGGTAGCATGCGTCTGTAGTCCCCAGGGATCATGCCACTGCACTCCAGTCTGAGTGACAGAGTGAGGCTATGACTCAAAAAAAATCTTACATTATGTGTCCCTTTTTCTCACTTAGGAAATTAATTTAGAGGAATCTACTTTGCTTAAAATTCTATTACCGCACACCATATACAAATCCATTCCTGATTAACTTGCAGATGTAAATATGAAAGGTAAAACAATGTTTTTTTAAAAAAAATTTCCTACCAGGGCTCGGTGGCTCAGCCTGTAATCCCGTGCTCGGTGGCTCAGCCTGTAATCCCGTGCTTTGGGAGGCTGAGGTGAGTGGACTGCCTGAGCCTGCGGGTTCGAGACCCGCCTGGGCAATTTGGCAAGACCTCATCTCTACAATAAATCAAAAAATTAGCCAGGCATGGTAGCATACACCTGTAGTTCCAGCTACTTGGAAGGCTGAGGTGGAAGGACTGCCGGAGCCCAGCAGGTGGAGGCTGCGGTGGCTAGGAGTGTGCCACTGCACTCCAGTCTGGGCAACAGAGTGAGACTCCAACTCAAAAACAAAACAAAACTTCCTTTAAATTGAACACTGCTGGGAAAAAAAAAACCTTCCAAAACTTGGGATGAGCAGAGTAGCGTGGTTCCTGTTTCCTGGAAGAATGTTGTATAAGAGGCTGGAATAACTTCTCCCTTGAATTATGGAATACACCAGTCAAACCATCTGGACCTGGGTGGTTAATGGCTAATTCAAGTCATGTAATTGTCATAGGGCTATTTTAAGTTTTCTGTATCTTCTTGCATCAGTTTCAGAAAACTATCTTTCTAGGGATTTTCTGGGTCCTATCCTTATCTTTTTAATGTCTGTAGCAATTGTAGCCAAAACCTCTTAGACTTTTGAGCCTCTCACACTCTTAATCCTTTCTATGTCCTTATGTTTAATGTGCTTCACAGATTGGTTTATTTTAATCTAGTCTGTTAGTCTCTCTCTCCTTTTTTTTTTTTTTGAGTTGGAGTCTCACTCTGTTGCCCAGACTGGAGTGCAGTGGCCTGCTCACGGTCACTGCAGGCTTGCCCTGCTGGGCTCCGGCAATCCTTCCGCCTCAGTCTTCCAAGTAGCTGGAACTACAGGCGCGCACTACCACGTCTGGCTAATTTTTGATTTATTGTTGAGATGAGGTCTCACCAAGTTGCCCAGGCGGGTCTCGAACCCGCGGGCTCAGGCAATTCACTCACCTCAGCCTCCCAAAGGCGCGGGATTACAGGCTGAGCCACCGAGCCTGGCTCCAACTTGTTCTTGTAAATCACCCATCATGAAATGGGCAGACGCGTTAAAAGAATCTCCAAAAAAAAAAAAAAATTTCACCAAGGCCAAATGCAGCCTCTTACAACAATGCTAGCTGATACACTGATGCCAATAGGTTCCTAGAACACTAGAACACTTTTATACTTACCTAGCAAGGGGGAGCCTGTACTACAAGGGGCTCCAAAAGATAATTTTGGGTTTTGGGGGGGCTGTTTTTATCTTGTTATTACAGAGGCCATGCACTTAACTGTGTCATTGTGCTCTCGTCTTTTAGATGACTAATAATCCTTGGACTCCATTGATGTTAGTTGACTTACCCAACAGCTGCCATTTCAGATACCTTTTTACCAGAGCACCCTGGCTACAGTGGTCACTGAAAAATGTTAAGAAGGTTACCACTGGACCTCTTAGTTAAATCCAAGAGATGTCTCAGCTCTTACTTGCTTAACTTGCTTTATCCACAGTGGCTGTGATGTGGTGGTAGCCTATCAAAACGTGGCGGTTTAATGAAAATTAAATGTCCACAAAATAGAAGGCACTAAATTATGACCTCTACAAAAGGGAATATTCTATCTTTGGCCATCGTTTTAAGAGGCATACTGAAACAGTAAAACAGTTTCAGTTGATGAAAACACAAAGTAAAAGTGGTTCTTAGACGTCTGAATAAAGCAGACTACGTTTCCAAAAGGCTCTCTCTCTAGTGGCCGCCTCACTCACCAACTCCGTGTCTAAGATCTTAGGGAGGATAAAACCCGCTTCCCTGCATTAAGAATATGTACTCACAAATAATGTAAGAATTCAAGCATTTAAGAAGTCAAAGTAGCCATTTGTGTTACTTATTTCCTAGGTCCGTCTTTACCCACTAATTATTCCTTGCCAGGATTTTCTAGGTAATAGCCCGACCGAAATCGATTTGCCAACCCCGCATCACAAGCACCAGTTCTCCAACTGTGAAATGGAGGAAACACCCAGCTTCCCGTGACGACCGAGAAAAGTAATCGCTTCCTACAAAGCACACGCAAGGCGTTGAGCACGGAGCCCGGCATCCAGTAAGCACTACGGACACGTGAGCGCCACACCAAGCGCGGAAAACGAGAGCTGTAACCTCTTGGCCCTCACTTTTCTTCCTCTCCACGAGGGACTCGTTCAAGAGGCACGCCTGGGAGCCAGGATCCCGACGCGCCTTCAAGTCCCGCCGCACGTGTCCGCCCGGAT